AGTTATAAAGGTCATTTGATAATTGACTTTCTCTTTTAGGGTCATCGGAAGTTTTGATCCGATGCCAGCATGAATAACCATGATACTTTTGAGTATCATTAAATAAACAAATATTAAAATATACACTCTCTCTTACTTTTACTCAACTTTATATTTTCTCTTTCATCTTTTTACTCAACTTTTATTAATTTATATTCTTTTTAAATATAAAATTATTAAAAACACACTCAAACACACTCATTTGAGTATCAAAAGTATCAACTCATTGATACACTCTCTCCAAAAATACCCACTATCTCTTCTCTTTACTCAAATTTTATTAATTTTATATTTCAATACACCACATTATTTCAACCAAAAACATTCTCTTTCTTCATTTTATTCAAATTTTAATAATTTTATATTTAATAATACCCAATTTGTATCACCGTTGCTGATGCTCTCATCACTCTATAGAGAAAGCAAACTAGGAACAAAGAGAAAGCAAACTTGTTGTTCGAAAAATGGAAAACAACACTAATTCGATTGTTCTTCCGGGTCGGGTTGAAACCGGTTTGGAGGAAATCTACAAGAAACACAAGTGTGGTCCGATAAACGATGACACAAGAGTTATAACTATGATTATTGGCGATTTTAGGAGAGATATGTGCTGGTATGGAGTCTTTGGAAACACAAGGCAATGGAGGATCTCTGCACAGTCCTCAGCTCTTAGCTTTAGCTGAGCTTGAATTTAAGAAGATGTTTTCGACTTTTTTCTTTTTCTATCAATATGAAGTGATTGGTTTTGGTAACAATTACCTTTTTTGGTGTTATACAGGAAACAGCTGAGTAATGTTACAAGTTGTATTAGAAACAGCGTCTGTCTAAAAAAAAGTGAAACTCTTTAAATGTTCTTGTGCATTTAACTATCATTATTGGTGATTGTAGAAGAGATATGTGTTGATTTGGAGTCTTTGGGAACACAAGACAATGGAGAATCTCTGCACAGTCCTCAGCTCTTACCTTTAGCTGAGTTTGAATTTAAGAAGATGTTTTTGTTGCTTAGCTATATTCCAGGGTATGTTTGAGCTGCAAGTTTTCGATTTTTTTTATTTTGAAGTGACTATATTTCATTGATAGTATTGACTAGCATAAACCATTTCAAAATATGCTAATTGGATTTGAAGTTTTTGTCAAAAATGTTCATGCTTGCAGTATAATCATGTTATTAAACACAAAATCTTGCGTATTTATGTGCATAATAATTCTTGCCCACGTAAGTTTTAAAACTAACAACCATACATATTTAATTTTATAAATAACAAAATCATGTTATTAAATACGAAATTAACTTAATCTTCTAAACTATTTGTAAGAGATTTGAAGGCTCTTTTTGTGAGAAACTAAGAAGAAAAAACAAACGTAAATAACTATTATAATTTCAAAATAAAAGAAATAACTAAAAATTTTGCATATGCTATCAATCGTTTGCATTTTAACTCTAC